CTGCTACGACTAGGCGGGCGTCTCCGTTCCTCCACAGGGTCCTTTGGTTGCTGCTTGGGCTCAGATACTTGCGCTGGAGTTGCGCCAATCGGCGATCTCGGAGTTTCAGAGCGAGGCGCCTCCATCTGCACATCTGGCCCAGGATCCTCAGAGCATGCTTTCGGTCTCACATCCGAAGACGACTTCGGCGCTGGAGTTTCACTCTTAGCCTTCGATTGTAGTGGGAGAGGGGGTTTCTTAGCCCCCTTCATGTGAATCTTTTTGGAGTCCATCAGCATTTGGCGAGTTGCCTCGCGTGCGCGTTCTTCTGCTATCCGCATACGTTCCTCATCCGCCGCAACTCGCTGGGCCTTCTGTTCATCCTTAGATGTCGATTCTGGTTGTTGGGACTGGCTGGGAACGCCGGGCGAGTTTCCTCGCATTCCAGGAAGATTAAAGAGCGCGTCTTTTTCTTCCTGGGTCATGGGCACCAGTCCTCCCCTTGGAACCGGAGGAGGCTTATCCTCTTCATCTTTCGTCTCCAAGTGACCCATGATCCCGAGACGACGATTGACCTCTGCGATCTCGTCCTGTCTCATCGGGATCAGTGGCGGATGGACGCCCTCCTTATGAGGGGTTTTGCCCCTGTTTGGACTCAGACCTTCATTATTTCCTACAGGGCATCCCGGCCTGTGGTTCTGGAACGGCTCGGAACGTGGCCCACGCGCTGCTTGAGGTCTATGCAACTTGCGAGCCGCAATAACGTTTCGCAGCTGTGTCCGCACTTCTTCAATTTCAGGGCGGCGGATGTTTGTTGCAAGTTGATAGCCTCCGCGGATGGCCTTGCCCTGAGCGCCCCTATAGGCAGGGTTGCCCTTGCCGAAGGCCGAGTGTTCCCCTTTACGGCGTCTTGGATCATTGTGCGGCAGTAGTTCGCCTCCTCGCCTGAGAGCGTGTTCCTTTGGGCCAGCTTGCCTCCACCCGCGAGGAAGCCGAGCCTGAGGATGTGGCTCTCCTCTGACGCGCGGACGGGAACGAGACCTTCCAGCATTCTCATCAGAAGAGGCTGCCGAAGCAGCCTGAGTAGACGCCGGCGGAGGGGCCGGCGGAGGCTCCTGTGCGATCCCAGGTGGATCGGCTAGTCAAGGCGGGTTCCCCTGCTGGCTGGAGCCTGGCGCAAATGGCGCTTGTGCCGATGGTGATGGCATCGGGCTCGTCGGGATCAAAGTCCACCTCTACCTCGCCGGTGACCTCCATCATGAGGATTGTGGCCTCATCCTCGCATAGCCCGCAACCATCGCCCTCTTCTTCTTCTGATGTAGAACTGCCAATGATGATGGCCATTGGCGCAGCCGGGACAGGCAGGTTTCCCTGCATAGCCGGCGTCTGTGCGTCGCTCGGCTGTCCCGGAGTAGGCGGCACGGTTGTCGGCTCAGGCTCGTTGCCGAGCACAGGCTGCCCAGCAATGTTGCGCATGGCAGTGTGATTTGGCCATCGTCCTGCCGCCTGGAGACCCCATCCTGGCGGAGGAAGAGCCTGGCCGCGCATGGCGATGGCCCTTTCAAGGGCCTCGCGCCATCTTCCTCTGGAGTACCACACATGTCTCTGCACGTCCTCAGGATGCACACTGTCAATAAGGGTCAAAGCTGCCAACACTAACTCCGAGTCGTCGCAGGCGTCGGTGTCCTGCAGCATCGTGATGCCAGCTTCGATGCTTTCTTGACTCTCGGGGTATGCGATGGTCAGTACCTCGCGCATCCTCATGAAGGTTTGCAGTAGTGTGCGTGGTCCGTACTCGCCTGGGGCAAGCGAACCAGGGGGTACAAATGGTTCCCCTGGTACGCCTGCAATGAAAGCTTGAACGAACGCTTGAGACTCCATTTCTATGAGTTCATCGTTGTTTCGGGGATAGATAGGCCTGTTTCCAGGCGGGAGTTCGGGTGGAGGTTGGAGGTTGCGGTCAACCTCTGAAGGCGAGGCCTCAACAGTGATGTCCTCGTCACTGCTTTCGTAGGCCATGATGTTGCCTGGGTCCCCGAACATCCAGTCGAAGAAAGACAAAAGCTGGTTTCCCAGCGTACCGTGATCCACGGGAGTGAGCTCGTTGTTGCCAACAACGAACCTGCGGACGTACTCGAGGTAGTACGCGTACAATCCATGACCATACGCCTCGAGCTCGTCGACGTTGTCCATGCAACTGACCCAAGTGCAAACTATCTGTTCCATGGCCTCAAAATCCTGGAGGCTCAGATATTCGATGAATGGTTCACTTGTGCCAAAATGGACTTCGGTCGATCTGCCCTTTCCTTTTCCCTTCGCTGGACAATCTCTCGCAAAATGGTCGGTGCTATCACACTCATGGCACTTTAGAACCTGGCCGTCTCTACCTCGCGGGTTGCCCCGCCTACCTTTGCCTTTTCCTGAGGTCTCTCTACGGCCTTTGCCGCGGCCCTCTCCCCCGAAGAATATCTCATCACACTGTTCATCCGAGAGCCTCTGGAGGAATGCCGCGACGCCTCGTCCGTTCAACCTCAGACGACCCCGCTTGCCTTTACCTTTTCCTTTGAAGCTCCTCCGCGTCCTCCTCCTAACACGTCGCACTGGTTTTCGCGTGAATCTCCTCCATCTCCGTTTAGCCTGTTGTAATAACCAAAATATGTGTTCAGCACGCTGATTGTCAGTTTCCATATTCATAATATCTGACCAATCTAAAGCTTCAACACCGTCGGATGATGCAGTATCAGTGTCGGTGACGGAGTCGAAATCATCGTCTCCCAAGTAGGTGGACACACCGTCGGTAAGGGGGTTTGATTCACCCCACAGAGAACGGTGTGGTTGAGGTTCTCTGGAAGGAGGGCTGGTTGCCCAGCTTGGTTGTGGTCGATCCCCTGCTAAAAAACAATAGATTATCCGGGATCATCGGCCCGTATGCTTGAGGGCCCGTTTCCAGGCTGGGCTTCAGTGGTTAAGGTAGTGTAGAAATTCCCACTACCAGATCCCCTTCCCCTTCCAAATACAGGTCCTATATTACCAGGATACCGTTCTGATAGGTGGCCTATCGAGCGCATCCTTTTCAGCAACTCATCATACTGTTGTTGAGTTCGGGGCATTTGATGATTGAGTGGCTGTAAGAGTTGCATGGCTCGCTGGTTGCCGACGCCTAAGGCGCGGAACAGGATCGTGGTTAGTAACTGGAAGTTGGGAAGGTCGAATCCCACCGACTGTGCCTCAAGTCGGGCCACTTCGAATCGGGTTAGAGTGGCATCGATTCGTTCTCCGTGAGGCACATGGAAATCGATGAGCTGTGTGCCCGAAGTGAGCTGGCGCTCATCTTCCAGGCGCTCGAACTTCATGCTTAGGAGGAACATGATGTAGGTCACTGGGTCTGTGTGGACCCCATCGATGTCAGCACCATAGTTTATAATGTCAGGTGGTACCCTCATGGCGAGTGTCCTCGCTAGACCACCTAGGCCACGTTGTATGGCGGCCGCTTGGGCCTGTGGCGTCATACGTCCGCTAGTGACGTTGAGCCATGCGTTGACCTCATAAACATACTCACGGAAAGGTATGTTGCCTTGAGGGCCCCAGTATGGGCCATGTGTTTGCCCATCGGTGCTGTTTTCTCCGCGGCGCATGTGTCCGATTGCTGCCCCCAGCGCGAACCATATGATAGCGAAGATAACCAGCCCAAGGCTGTGTAGATAGGGGTGGTTATTAGGCGCGTTGCCGCGCTGGGGTAGAGCCTTGTTGAGTCTTCGAGGCGCTCTATCTGGCGGATCTCTCCGCCCATGCTTCAAGTGCTGCGCTTTTGGCTCGTTGCCGAGCGGTTGGTAGTAGCGCAATGATGAAGCATATATGGTACCAATGTTGTTGTCTAGACGTCGTACCTCTCGTGTTGCTTCTTGCTCTTGGATAGATCCTCGTAAACGTACTGGGAGTGGTAGCGCAGGGTGGTAGGTGGTCACGAGGATCGTGCCGAAGAGTATGAGGATGAGAGGAGCAAGAGCTGACCAAACGAGAGTGCGGCCAGCTCCGCTACCAAGTCGAAAGTGAGCCTGGTAGGTCAAATAGCATCCGTCTCCATGGGAGGCGGATGAGCTCACATTGCACCCAGTTCCATGTCGAAGGAATACGATATGGGGAGTGGATGGGTAGGATAGGATAAGATCGATGTATCGGTCTTTCCAGCACATAGCGAACACTAAGGTAAGTGTCCGGGCAAATAGGGCGCGCGTGCCTTGAGCCAAAGGCAACGGCGCGCGAGCTATACTCCCGATACTATAACATCTCCCAAAGAACTACCCTTAAAGTGGCTTTGAGGCGCTTCGAGATCGCACCAAGACGCCCAAGATGGCCCCATGACGATCCAAGAGTCCTTCCAGACGCCCCAACAGGCGCCCAAGAGCCTTGCCACGAGGGGCTCGAGAGGCCAAAAACATTGCGGTCCTGGGGGCCTCCCGAGGCCCCAAGACGGCCCAAGAGGCACCCAGGACCGCCCCAGAAGCCCCCAGGAGGACCACAACACGACCAAAGAGGGCCCCAAGACGGCCCCGGAAGCGCCCAAGACTACCCAAGAGGGTCCAAAGACACCTCCAAGAATAGCCCCAAAAGGGGGGGCACGAACCGAAAATCCTAGCCTTCCGCCCCATGAGGCCCCCAGGAATCCTCAAGGAGACCCCAGGAGACCCCCAACAGACCCCAAGATACCCCCAAAACGGCCCCCAAGAGGCATCAAAACAGCCCCCAAGAGGCCCCCGAAAGGCCTCCTGCGACATCCCATCGCCCATCCTCAAGGCCAGCGATCCGCGATCCACAACCCAGGTACGGTGGCGGGATGGGCCGAAGGACATTACATAGATGGCGACAGAGATGCCAATCAGGAACACAGGTAAGCGGCCGCAGACACGATCCATACTAGCGCGAAGAAGTGCACACAAGAAGCTCAGTGGGGAGACGGAGGCAGAGAGTCACACATTGCATGCGTGTGCCAAGGGGACCTGTGCTCGAAAGCCTCATTGGCGTTATCGTCCTCCTGGAAGAAGAGTGCGCTGACCCTCATGCGCCGAGGGTGTCAGAGCGTGAAGTCCAAGCACCGTTGCGACCAGGGACCGATACCCTGAGATGCGGACGTCGTGCAATATCACGGCCAGCACCATGGACCTGATCTTCCTGCGGAGCTGCTCCGGCCAAACGATCCATGAGAGCCCCAGGGCCCAGCACCGGGCGAAAACGCCAGGCGTGAAAAATATCCCCAGATCTCAAGGTACATGTTCCATAGTCGCGCGCACGCAGGCAGTCGTGCCGGGAGGAGGCGAGTGCCTCGACAATACACGCACACAACATCGGTCGCTCTGGCACGTGCTACGCGTCCGCGCGGCACCCTCCTTCATGGCCAAGCCCTACCTCCGCGTCGTCTGGCAGCCTGCCTCTTCTTGCAAGATCAGTTACGTAACACCGAATCGGGAAATCGGGCGAAATCGGAGCTTGCGTCGAACCGGGCCGCATCGGCCTGGAGTCAAAACAGAAACGGATCGGTCACTCCTCGATGCTCAACAAGCATCGAGCATCGGGCCGAATCAAATCGCTGGAACATTGGAATCCGATCGGTCGACCGAATTCAGGATCAAATCGGACCGCTCGGAGCGAAATGGACCCTCGGACAGACGAGCGCACGCCGCGGCCGCGATCTCGCGGACCCGCGGGTACGCGGGATCGCACCGATACGTTCGGCTCGGGGCATCTGCGAGAAGACGCCCCGCATCCGCAGGATCCTGGCCCAACGAACCAGCCCGCGAGTCCGCGGATACGGATACGTTTGTCCGCCCACGAGACCGAGACATGCGATGTCCTGATTTGCTTCATACGGGGTTCCCGGACGTCCCAGCCCTTTCCCCAAGGCCGATGTTCCTGTTTCATGGATTGTTTTCTGACGGTCCCGGGGCACACCGAAGCCGAAAACGGCCCAAATCCCCCCGTCTTGACTTTTTCAGCGACGCACACCCCGCGGCGACGCGCTCACATGCCCGGCGCATCCCGCAGCGCGTGGCTCTGCATGCCCGAAAATGTGTTCAATGACATCGATAGAGCACGAGTCACACGCAAGAGCAATCAACACAGACATCGCAATCCATCCTTTCACCCATCGGTTGGGGGCAGCTGCAGACGGACATCCTTCCCTCGGGAAGCCCGGCACACCCGCGCCTACGGGCCCCAAGGGCACCCTCGGCGAGTCGCCGCAGGAGCAGCACCGACTCCGTCCATGCCGACCCCGTCCTCCTCCTCCTCCTCCTCCTCCTCCTCCTCCTCCTCCTCCTCCCCCTTTTCCTCCTCCTCCTCCTCCCCCTCCTCCTCCTCCTCCTCCTCCTCCTCCTCCTCCTCCTCCTCCTCCTCCCTCCTCCTCCCTCCCCTCCTCCTCCTCCTCCTCCTCCTCCTCCTCCTCCTCCTCCTCCTCCTCCTCCTCCTCCTCCTCCTCCTCCTCCTCCTCCTCCTCCTCCTAGTAACGCCGCGGCCCCAGCATCCATCCCTCTTTGGAATGGGTGGCCGCTTGGGCCCGGCGGGTGAGGAACGCCCAACGCTGTGCTCTCAACTCCTGGCGCCCAGACGCCGCCTTCGGGCCCCGGGGCCGTCGTAAATCAAGGTGGAAGGCAGCATGGCCCCTGCGAGTCGGACGGGGGGGCATCACGTTTTTCCGCCCCCACGGCGTGGTCTTTAATAGGCGGCACAGAGCCCCCTCCCAAACAACAGAAACGACAGCAGCAACTCTGCACGCCTAGCAACGACGCTCATTCGGAGGAGGAAGGGAACAGAACTAGGCCCACGTTAGGCGCCCCTTGGGGACGCGGGCCTGAGCGGCGCCGTGAAGACGAGGCAGGGGAAGAGGAGGAGGAAGCAGAGAGGGGAAAAGGAACGAATTCCCCCCACCTGCGCGGGAGCTAACCTGCTCGTGCCTCCAAAGCGCTATCGCGCCGAGCAAGCTCTTCCCTGGGGTAGCGCGAGCGCTTCGTGCGCCCCAGGTCAGCTGCAGCCAGGCCTGGGCGTCGGGCGCGGGCCCGTCACGGCGCTGGCGTCGGCCGAAATCGTTTCCGCAACCGACACGTCGATGAACAAGGGCCCGGGGCCCGCTGGGTCTCTGGGCACGACCGCTTCGAGCCCCGCCCGTTCCAGGCCATCTGCGCCTGGGCTGTCCCAGTTGGGCACGCGCTGCTTCGTGAACGTCTCGAGGTCCACGTGCTCGCAGCACTATTCGGCCAATCCGTTTCGGCAGTAGTCGTGTCGCTGAAACTGAGAGGAACCAGGCTCCATTTCGCAGCAGACGGCACGGCTGGCCCAGCCGTGCCTCGCGGTACACCCGCAAGCTCCACGAGCCCAGAGCCTGCGCGGCAGCGCCCCTTGCGCAGCCGGGTCTTCGAAGAGAAGGCGCCGCGGCAAACAGACACAGAACGCGTCGTCTAACACTGATACTCGGTCACGACGCGTCGCCTGGAGCCGCGGCCCGCCTTCGGCCACCTGCGGGTGAAGGAGCCCCGCCGCCTCGTCTTCCAGACCCGCCCTGGACTCCCGAGTCCGCCTGGCCACCAGGGACTGAAAGATGGCCATCCGGGCGCGCGCGGCCACCGAGCCGCCCGCCGTCTGCGCGCGTTCCGCGGCCGCGCGCGAGGCTCGGTTCACGAGCGGGGCGACCAGCTTAGACGGAGCTGGCGTCTCAACGCGCTGCACTCTGTATGCCATGGCCTCTACTTGCGCCCAGGAGCCGCGGGAAGCTGCGTCCGTCCTGAACTCCGCGCTCGCCAGGCCGCCGCCGCCGAGTTTGGCCGGCGCGAAGAGGACCTGGCGCGACAAGTCCGACAGCGGCCCGCCGAGCCAGTGCTCGACCACCGCAGCAACCTGGTCGTCGTAACGCCGCCATTGCTATTGGTCGCCTGCCTGGGCCCGCTGTGCTTCAATGACCGCGCCGTTCACGAAGTTCGCGAAGATCATCTACGCGTCGTGCTTGGCTAGGCCATGGCGAAGGAGGGCGCCCAGGCGGGCGGCAAAAGCAGCGAGCCGGATCTGGGGACGATGGGCCTGGGCAAATCCTTCCAAACCAGCGGACACGTCGCGCCAATCGTCGCCCTCCTCCTGGAGACGCCGGTTCCGCATGTAGGGAATTGAGCTTCCTCAGCAAGGGGGCTCTGGAGCGGCTGGAACCCCGTCCAGCGCGCCAGAAGGGAGCCGCAGCTTCGTTTTGGTCGTCTTGGGCTCAAGGCCGATGCTGCCGACTGCCTGTGTGGCCAGTTGCATGGCTTGCTCCAGGCGCTCGCGAGGGATCCAAAAGTAGGTGTCGTCGATATACGCCACGGCCCCCCCCCTTCGCATGCAACGCTCGCAAGTCCCCGCGCAACGTGCTCAAGGGACCTGCCAGAAGAACTGCGAGAAAAAGCCGGCGAGAGGGGCAGCCCTCGTCGAGGCCCAGGACGTGCCGCATCGTTTCGCGCGGCCCCCCGTTGCCCCGGAGGACGCGCTGCCCAGGGCGGTCGTACGTCGCGCGGGCCAGGATCTCCAAATCAGGGCACCGCTGGCGCAAGGCTCGAAGAATTCCCGGCGCTGGCACTTGCGGAATGCCGACGTCGCGTCGATAGAAACAAACACGACGACGACGACGACGACGGTGGCCGCCGCGTTCTGCAAGGCCTCGGCCCCAACCGACACGCCCACGCCGAGCTGCGCGGTTCCAAGTGCCTGGCAAATCCCGTCGCTCCAGGCCGAGCACGCAGCCTTCGCCGGCAGCCGTCGCGGCGCGCCGCCACTGGCCGCAACGCGCGTGCCATCGCTGGCCCTGCTCAGCCCCGACAGCTTCGCAGCGAACAACAAATCGCAGGCCGCCGCGGGCACGCTCCCGGTGGCAGCCAGAGACAGCATGCGGGCGACGGCAGGGCTGCTGTCGGCGCTCCGGCCCATCGAAATCCGGTGCTCGCACCGGTCCTCCATGGGGCCGGGGCCGCTTCCACGCGGCACGCGAGCCCGGGACGCGGCTGCGAGGAGCCTGGCCAAGGTAACGGACCCCGCGGGGGCCAGTCCCCACGCCTCGCCCCAGCCGTCCACGGCGAGAGTTCTGGGAGACAGCCCCTGTGGTTCGTGGAAGGCAGCCCCCCGTCACGCAGAAGCTGGCGAACACGACGAACAGTGCGAGTGAGCTGGGTCGCGTTGCTGCGGGTCTTCCAACGCACAGCGGCTAAGCGGCAGAGCATGTCCCACCCCCCCGCCCACAACAGGGCGAGCCGTTCGCCCACAAGCTCCACGACCGGCTTGCTCTGCTCGGCCTCGGCGCCCGACTGCAACTCGGCGAAGAAAAAACGGTCGATAAGCAGGACCAGACGCCAACAGGTGAGGAGTCGCTGATGATCATCCTGGGCCCGCAGCGTCCAGGAGGCGACAGTTTCCTTGGCCTCCCCCACCGCGAACTGGAGCGCGCCTGGGACCTTCGTCAACGTCATGCCCTGGCTGAGGAGAGCCCCGCCGAGCCACCCACGCGCCGATGGCGACCACCACCATTCCATGCATGTGGAGGAGCTCTGAGTCTGGGAGGTCTGGAAGACGGACTGGGCCCTGGACTGCATCCCCGGTCGCCTCTTCAGCGTTGCCCTCCTGCTCTGGCTGGTGGGCCATTGTGAAGAGGCCCTGGGACACACAAAAAATAGATTCCCCATATTTTCCCATATTTTCTGGGTTTTGTCTTCCCCCCCACTTCTCATGTTTTCCCATATTTTCCTGGGAGTCCACGATTAATTGTGTCTGTGTGTTTCTTTCCCTCCTGACATTGGCACGTCGGCCCCTCGCGGCGATGGTTGCTGTGAACTGCCTGCCGGGCCTGCCAGCTGGACCTCCAATCATGGTGCCAGCGCCGCCTGCTGCGTCAGCGCGAGGTCAGCCCAGCCAGCGACCACATGGGGGGGTCCGAGCACTAAGCCTACGCAATCAGGGTGAGCATGTTCGGGGTGAACCGGATTCGCGCTCCTGGAAATCCGGACGTCCCCTCGGCGGAAGCTCTCGTGGCACACCTGACACTTCCCCCCACACCCGTCCCCGGGCATCTTGAACTAAACACCGCCAACCCGAATCCTAGGGCCAATCCTGTGGCCATACCCGGCGGCGCCGGCTCCTCTGCCGCGGCTCCGGGACTGCGTCGACATAAATTTTCTCATGCGGGGGGCCCTCGCCGGGATAGACCAAAGTGGAATCCCAATCCAGGACGCCCCAACCCGCTGCCCATAATGCTAGGGCAGCCGGCGAGGTGGCCACGGCTTGGAAGCCACGCCTGCGCTGGACAACATCCCCTCTGTGGCCCCCACCACGGCGGCAGTAGCCAGGTTCACTCTGAGGCACACGAAGCCCAGGCCGTACGCGCGCAGGCGATCCTGGGCGACCGAGCTGGCGATGCGGCAGGACAGGGTGTGCATGCATAGTGACGATGTTGCCCGCGAGCGCCAGCAACTCGATGGATACGAGGACCCCCGCGGCGAGCGCCCCGAGGAAGTCGCCCACCATGAGCACGAGGCGTGGCCAGGAGTCATGGTGCAAGCTACCGCCACCGTCCCTTACCCAGACATGCGCCATGAAGGCCAGCATGATGATGAAGAACGCCCCACCGATCTGACGTGCGTGCCAGAAGAAGCGCAAGACAACAACAGGCACCTCCAGCGCCTCTGGCCCTGCTGCCAGCGATACTCGAGGTCGTCCCCAGCCCCCATCGCCAGAGGGGCACCTGTGCGCGAGCTGTTCCTTCTGTGCGGTGTACGCGGCATTGCAGCAAACCTGCGCGCGGAGTGCGGACCCGGTGACCCCCGAGACGATCAGGCGAGCTGAACTCTCCACTCGAACAGCATTCGGAAACCGACTGTAAACTGCGCCCAGACCAAATGCAATAAGTAATATGAATAGTCGCATGTACCATGACCACCAAGAAAAAGACAAACGAAACAGATGTGTAATGTACCGCAAGTGTCAGCCTCATATCCCGCTTCGAGCTGTATGTAATGCACCGCAAATGTCAGCCTTGTGTCCCGCTCAGGACGGTCCCGCCCCAGCCAAGGCAAACCGGCAGCAATCTCGGATAAACAGATCAGCGATCGCGAGGCCCACATGAATACGAAAAATGGGCATGCGGTCCAGCCGGCCGGTCGCTCGAGCTCCTCCTTCTCCTCCTCCTCCTCCTCCTCCTCCTCCTCCTCCTCCCACTCCTCCTTCTTCACCTCTTCATTATCATCCTCCTCGTTTTCCTCCTCCTCCTCTTCCTCTTCCTCCGCCCCCACCCCTCCTCCTCCTTCCTCCTCCTTCTCCTCCTCCTGCTCCTCCTCCGATTTTCCTTTTGAGCAACTCCTCCCTATCGAGCCCCGAGACGTGCAGGGGGCCTGGCGTGTCGCTTGAGATTTCCTCACAACGAATGACCGTTCAGCCTGACAGCTGCCAAGGCAAAGCTTCACGGCTGGAAGGCGGGCCGTTCACAAAACGTGGCGCTCGTTTCAGCGCCGCACACACTCGTGCGAACAGTTCGCAAGAAGACCCACGGAAGGAAGGCGGACCGTCTTCGAAATGTGGCTCTCGCCCGAGCGAAAGTCCGCAGGAGTTTCACGGATGAGTGGCGGGCCGTGTTTTTTTTGGTTCTGATGGTTTAGCGCCGCGCACGCTCCGCTCGTCGCACAAGTTAGTAAGAGCTTTACGGATGGATCGCAATTCCTTTTCCGAATGAAGCTTTCGCCTGGGCGCAAGGATTCTTATGGCTGGCATCCCAAGCATTGCTTGGTGGTACGATGTAGGTCTGCCAGGGCGCAACAGTCACCTTGATTCGCGGTGTTGAAGTTCCAGACATGGTTGTTTGGCACGATTCAGGGCCGTCAACACTTATCAGTACATAACGTACATTCGCGGCGTCGAAGTCCCAAGAATGATGTTTTGGTGCGGTTCGAGATTTCCACACGGTTCTCTTCCAACGGGGCACATCCGTTACTAAAATCATCCTGGCGAAGGACCCAACCATATGCAGTTGTGAGTACCGCCATTCTGAACAACGCTTTTGGTGGAGCTCACTACGCGGCCACGAACGCGTGAAGGAAACACTGAATGAGGCGGGGCCGCCATGCGGGCGCTGCCGCTGGGGCCGCCCGCAGGGGGCGCGGAGATCAGACGGAACGGGTTACATGCTGGTGTAACCCGTTGCGGCTGACAAGCACCGGGAGAAGCGGGAAAAGACACGCGGGCGTGACACGCGAACGCGACCACTGGGGCGTTCGGAAGAGTTTTCAATAGGGCCGTGAAGCGTGTGAGGGGTGGGGTGCGGCATGCGAACGCAGCCTCTGGCGCCTTCGGTGGGGCTCCTCACGGGGCCACGAAACGTGTGATGGGCGTGTCAAAAAGAAGGGGGATGGCGGCATGCGAACACAGCCACGGGAGCCTTCGGTGGAGCTCCGCATGGGGCCACGAAAAGTGCGAGGGGTGTGTCAAAGGGAGGGGCGTGGCGGCATGCGAGCGCAGCCACTGGGGCATTCGGTCGAGATCCGTATGGGGCCACGAAAAGGTGGTGGGGGGGGTCCCAAAGCGAGGGGCGTGGCGGCATGCGAACGCAGCAACTGAGGGCCTTCGGTGGAGCCCCTTTTATTGGGCCAGGAGAAGCGGGAGAAACGGGAGAAGCGGGAGAAGACATGCGGGCGCGGCATACGAACGCAGCCGTTGGGGCCTTCGGTGGAGCTCCCCACGGGGCCACGAAAAGGTGAGGGGTGTGCCAAATTGAGGGGCATGGCGACATGCTAACGCAGCCACTGGAACCTTCGGCGGAGCTCCCTATGGGGCCACGGAAACTGTGAGGGGTGTACCAAAGTGAGGGGGGCAGCATGCGAACGTAGCACCTGGGGACTTCGGTGGAGCTCCCCATGGGCCCACATAGTTAACGTGTGATGGGTGTGTCAAAGTGAAGGGCGTGGCGGCCTGCGAACGCAGCCACTCGCGCCTTTGGTGGAGCTCACCGTGGGACCACGAAGCGTGCGAGGGGTGTGCCACATTGAGGAGGGTGAAGGAATGCAGACGTAACCACTGGGGCCTTCGGTGGAGCTCCCAATGGGGCCACGAAACGTGCGAGCGGCGTGTGAAAGTGATGGGGGATGGCGGCATGCGAACGCAACCGCTGGGGCCTTCGGTGGAGCTCCCTATGGGGCCACGGACAACAAAGTGAGGGGTGCGTCAAAGTGAGGGGCATGGCGGCATGCGAACGCAGCCACTGGAACATTCGGTGGAGCTTCCTATGGGGCCACATAGCGGGTGACGGTGCGCAAAAGTGAACGGGTCGGCGGCGTGCGAACGCAGCCACTGGCGCCTTCGGTGGAGCTCCCTGTGAGGCCACGAAGCGTGCGAGGGGTGTGCCAAAGTGAAGAGTGTGGCGGCATGCAAGCGAAGCCACTGGAGCCTGCAGTGGAGCTTCCCATGGGCCACGGGGCGTGTGAAGGATGCGCCAAAGTGAGGGAGTGACGGGAGGAGGGAGGAGCCGGAGGAGGAGGAGGAGGAGAGGAGAGGAGGAGGAGGAGCAGAAGGAGAAGGGGGAGAATGAGGAGGAGGAGGAGGAGACACGCGGACTGTCTCATCAAATCTGGGACCCAACACCCCAGGACGGTTGAGGAAATCAGTCTGTAGGGGCTTAAAGAGAGGGGACTTTGAGGGAGGGTTTGATGGCAACATCGTTGGTGAGTCTTCGGTTTGCACTGCGCCTCCTCCTCCTCCTCCTCCTCCTCCTCCGTCTGCTCCTCCTCCTCCTCCTCCTTCTTCTTCCTCCTCCTCCTCTTCATCCTCCTTTTCCTCCTCCTCCTCCTCCTCCTCCTCTTCCTCCTCCTCCTCCTCCTCCCATCCCTCCTCCTGCTCCTCCTGCTCCTGCTCCTGCTCCTCCTCCTTCTCCTCCTCCTCCCTCTCCTCCTCCTCCTCTTCCTCATCCTCCTCCTTTTCCTCCTCCTCCTCCTCCTCCTCTCCTCCTCCTCCTCCTCCTCCCACTCCTCCTTCTGCTCCTCCCATTCCTCCTCCTGCTCCTCCTGCTCTTGCTCCTGCTCCTCCTCCTTCTCCTCCTCCTCTTCCTCTCCTGAGGCACGGCGCAGAGCGAAAGCTCGTAGCGTCAGTGTCGGCGGGCCGGCGCCCGCCCACCCCGTCGCACGCTCGCAGCCGCTGAAGGCGCGCAGGTCACCAGGGAAACCCAGGATCGGAGAGAGCCAGCCGCAGCAGAGAAGCCTGTTCTGCTCCTCCCTCATCAACTACTTCCTTCGCAACCGACACAAGTTTCCTGCCAAGGAGGCGACTGCGTCGACTCCGCGACGTTCACCAGGGGAAAGGGCAGGCTCGCCCGTGCGGGAGGGGAGGGACTCACGGGGACGGCGGGGGGCGGCCTGGAATCCTCCTCATCCTCCTCATCATCATCATCCTCCTCCTCCTCCTCCTCATCATCATCCTCCTCATCCTCCTCATCAGCATCAGCATCAGCATCAGCATCAGCATCAGCATCAGCATCAGCATCAGCATCAGCATCATCATCAGCATCATCATCATCATCATCATCATCATCATCATCATCATCATCATCATCATCATCATCATCATCATCATCATCATCATCATCATCATCATCATCATCATCATCATCATCATCATCATCATCATCATCGTTTTCCTCATCCTCCTCCCCCTCATCCTCCTCCTCCTCCTCCTCGGTGTGCGTGCGGGCGCCCTCCCGACTCAGGCAGGAAGGTCAACACCCGCCGGCCCTACGCCCAGGATCGGCCTCGCCAGGGCTCGTGCACTTGTCACGCAGCCTCGCCTCCCTCAGTTGGCGGCAAGCGCAAGGAAGCAAGGGCAGGCGGTGAAGGCTTCTTGGAAAGAGGCTGCATTAGAAGGCGCTGGCACGACATGAGTAGACAAGGCCCGCGCCTTCTGAGGAGCATGGGCGCTTCTATAAAGCCCTCCCCCCTCCCCCCACCCCCTCTGCGTCTCGCTGAGCCCCCTTCACATTGTCTCCAT